GCCAGGTGCAAAGCATGTGCTAGACAGGCAGGCAAAGCCAGACCTCCTTCAGAGCCAAGCGGGAATGAGTTGTAGTCAGGCAGAACTGACTCAGAGAAAGATTTTACATCCTCCAGCCCTGAAGTGCTTGACCATGGCTGCAGATTGGAATCATCTGGAAAGATTTCCCCACCACACCCCCCACACACCACCCTGCCCCGAGACGGAGTCTTGCTCTGTCACCCAGGCTGGAGTGCAGCGGCACGATCTCGGCTCACTGCAACCTCCACCTCCCGGATTCTAGCAATTCTCCTACCTCAGCCGCCTGAGAAGCTGGGACTACAAGCATGCACCATCACACCCAGCTAAATTTTACATTTTTAATAGAGATGGGGTTTCACCATGTTGGTCAGGCTGGTCTCAAACTCTTGACCTCATGATCCACCCACCTTGGCCTCACAAAGTGCTGGGATTACAGGTGTGAGCCACCGCACCCAGGCAAAGATTTTTAAAATACGGTTCTCCTAGCCCACTCCCAGAGACTCCAACTGGATGGTCTCGGGTGAGTCTCATGTAGTGTCTTCTTAAGGCTCCCTAAGTGGTTCCAAAGTGCAGCCAGGGTGGGGGGCATCTGCCTGGAGACCTGTGCAGGGCATTACTCATAGGAGACATGGAGGTGACAGGATTGGCCTCAGGGACCGGGGAGTGGAGCTCCTCAGAGGAAACTCAAAAGAGGTTGGAGCTCTTTTCTTGCTGGAAGGTGCTCCTTGGAATTCCTGCTTTGAGGATTGTTTTGCATCTTGGAAGTGCTCTCCCAAAGCAGCTGAAGGTGCCAAAAAGTAGAATTACCACCATCACCATCCCAGAAACTCCCATCCTTGAAAGAAAAACTAGAAAGACTTAGGAGTCCAGAGGAAAGGGGCAAAATCAAGCCCCCAGAATAGTTGCATTCCCCTCTAGCCCAGACAAAAGTAGCTCTTGCAGTCTCAACATTCACTACTGGCCCAGTCCAGCTCACCCCAGTAGGAAATCTCACAGAAACCTGAGGCCAACAAACACCCAGTGAGAAATCAAGGGCAGCCACTGCCTCAACTATTCTCTTTCCTATTGGGGTGATCATGGATCTTAAGGAACTTTTCAGGGGCTGGGGATCTTGGCCAACTCTCTCTCTCCATTAAACATAGCTAAGGAGTTCATGACAGGAGACAGGCAGGTGGGTGACAATTTAAAAATAAAGGAAAACAATAGCAAAGCATGCACTAGGTACTGCCATGAGCAAGGATGCCTTCGAATGCTTAACCTGCATCCCATTTGGAATCCCAGCACTACTGAACGTGTGCCGTAGAGTCTCCATTTCACAGATGACAAATCCAGGGTCAGAGAGGGCAGGTAAGTTGGCTGATATCACACAGCTGGCCAGACCTTTCCAAATAGCCCCATCTGGCTCCTAAGCAGCCACAGAGATGGGCCCATGTTAGCCAACACCAGTGGAAACTCTTTGAGGTTGAATTTGTAGACTGTCTCCTAATACCCACAGCCCTGGAGCTGTGTTTGAGGAGCTGGGGTCACTTATGGCACTGTTGCACACAAGGACATCTGATCTGGCTGCTGGGAACATTTTGCATCTGCCAGGCAAGACCAGGGGGAACTCCCTCGTGCGTTTGCTTTTTATAAAGGAGATTTTGGAGGGTTAAGTTTCCAGCCTCAACAGGCTTATCAGAGAAACTCCCTCTGCTAGACAGTGAATCACAGAATAAAGTCAAACCAGCTGGCAACCCTGCTGTGCAGGGAGCCTGAACTTGATTCAGAATCCAGGGGATGAGCAGAGGGTAATGAGACTGGTGGGAGAAGGGGAGGCTAATGGGAAGGACTCATGTCTTGCTTTGTAGGGGCTGCTGCCAGACAGGGTGAGGAGGCACCCAAGGCTGACACCTCCTGCCTATGGATTTCAGCCACACAATGACCTTTTGCTTCCCCAAGCATCCTCCCAACATGACCTATATTTGGGTGTAATAAAAAGTGTATGCTGGGTGGATTTTCTTAGCAACACATGTTCTTCTGACCTTGCCTGCCAGTTCCTGAGCCCTAAGTGCACAGGACAGCAGATCATACAGATGCACCCTCTGCCTCCATTCAACCAACGTTAGCAGCCAACTGTGGGCCAGCCCCAGCCCTTCTCATGAGCCTTTGCACAAAACTCAGCCCAGGGATATCCTGAGTAGCTGCTCTTGGTTAGTAGAGAATGTCTTTCTAGTTGGGGAAGCCAGCATCTCCCCCATGGAGGTATTTTGTTATCACTAGATTGTCAAAATGCTCTGCTCATTGAGAAATAAGAAGAGGGGACTCTACTTTCCTCCCATCACAACTGTTTCTCCCAGTTGCCCTCATTCAGAGGGCAAGTAATACATTTCTCAGATCCAGCCTGATCAGCTCTGTGTCCCTCAGTGCTGCCCCACTTGCCCCTGCCTTTCTCGTGCTTTCTCTAAGGCCCTGGCTCCAGCCTCACCCCTCTACCTTGATGTACCAACTGGCCATCTTCCCAGTTTCCCATCTTTGGCTTTATTTCCTGAGCTCTCTCATCTTACCTCTGGCAGAGCTCAGCACAGACTGATAATTCAGTAATAAACCTTCAGTCTGGCATGTCCAAGACAGTTACCATGTAATTTAATTGGAGAGGGAAACCCTGGATGCATCTGTTTCATTGCTTCTCATTACCCATTACAATTGGATAATTTTGAGTCCTGAAGACTTTTCAATTGAGTTTAGTGGGCATATACTATACACCTATTATACATCTACTATGTATGTCTATAGCACTGGGCTGGATACCCTATGGGACAGATGATGGCACAGAATGTTGGTGCTCAGAGAAACCAGCAAAAGAAATTCTTAATACGTAACCTATGGAGCCCTGGGGTTATTACATGGATGGTTCCAAGTTCTCTAAAAACAAGACATAAATTTTTATTTCATAAATTTCCCTCATGCTACATTGTAAATTGCCTATCTGGGAAAACATTTTTATGTCAAATTATATTGTTAAGGTACTGTTTTCCTCTTAAGTGCTATAATCATGGTCATCATTTTATGGTATTTAGAATATAATCTCAAAGTGATAGGAAAGAAAAAAACCTACCTGCAATTATGACTCCAACATGGCCAGTCTACATCAGTCCTAGTTTGACCTTGAAAATGTCAGCAAAGCTCACCTTTCCCATACTTTCATCACCAAACATGGCAGAGCTCCAACGTGGCTGTCCTTTTGAAAGACTGTGATCTTGCCACAGAAAGCTTAGAGCCAACCTAACTGAATTGTCACCTGACCTTTGTCCATTCTTAATCTAACATTGGACAGTATGCGTCATTGGAAAAAGAATGCTCAAAGCAAAGTCTACAGTGCTCTCCTGAATAACAATGGCAACAACAATAACAATTAAAAAAACAACACAGCAAGAATAATGGCTTTCCTTCATTGAGTGCTTATTAAATACCAGGCCTTCTGCCAAGGACTATACATATCACAGTTCACTTAATTCTTTTAACACACACACACACAAACACACACACTAGATATTCTGTCATTCTTCACATGTTTCAGATTTTTAAAAGACTGAGGCCTAGAAAGATTAAGTAACTTTCCCAAGGCCACACAGCTGGGAAAGGGGAAACCAACATGCAAGTCTTTTCTCACCTACCTGAGAGCACAGCACTGCACCTCAAAGCTATAGCATCTTGCCCACTACTCTCCTGAATCTTGGAGGAGTGGGTTCCTGTGTTCCATTATTGGGAGAGAAATTTACTGGTGAACAAATGGATGATATCTTGGTGCTATAGGTGACATGGAATGGCTGATGAAGCTAATGTGGTTGCCCTAGGCTGCTGTGGAGCTACGAACAGTTGTCTGTTCTCTTCAACTCAATGCTGGAGGCACCAATCCCATTTTCTGGTGCTGGCATCAGCTCCTCTATCTCCTATGGTGATCTACTTCCCACACCACAGCACAACCAGCCCCCTCTCCTGCCCCAGAAGTAACTACATCAACCTACTACTGCCTCTAGCTGGATGTTTGGTGGGAATGATTCTTAACTTGAAAAACCTGCAATAATACTAAAACTTGTATTTGACCCACCACAGAAGGCTTATCTGGAAGATGTAGAAGGTTCTATGGGAAAATTAAACTCTGTGACATTAACTAAAATGTTCTTCCCCTGTACTTCCCAATCCTGCCCTTCACCCCCTGCACCATGTCAACCAGCAGTAAAAACTTTGTCTTTGTCCTACCCTCAGTGGAAAATGATGATACAGCCTAAAACAAAACTCAACTGGGTTTCAGAATGCCAGTTTTACAGGCATAACAGTGACAGCAGTCTTAAAAGCCTTGAGAGAATAATCAAGAGAGCTGATCTTTGAACAAAAGAAGGCATAGGCATTAAATAAATGATAAAGAAGCCTAAGAGGAGAGGTAACATGTATTACATGGGCTAAGAAAAGGAGATAGGTTACCATACATTTGGAAGAGGGAAGTAAGAGAGTTGGTTATTGAAGTAAGTTCCAGAGGAAAGCACCACATTCACACTCTTGCCCTTTCCAGTTAAATCTGGAAAGGAGAGAGGAATTACAAAAACACTAAATGGCTTGGGTAGATCTCAGAGCATAAAATATCTGTATCTTCCCCTCCAGGATCCCTTGGGGAGTCTGCAAGCCTTGCAGAGAGGTTGTTCCCAGCAAGGCACAAGAGTGGTAGAGTTAACAATGGCAGAGGAAGGAATCTTGGTAGATGGGCCTGAGAGAGGCCTCATAGAGTGGTGTCCCATGCACCCCAGTGGGGAAATGGGGAGAAAAGACACTAAGAGTTGCAAAGCCATTGAGGGGAGAGCAGAAGGGATGAGAGATTGTAACTGGCCCAAAGGGGCCTGAGTCAGGATGAGGAAGAAACAGAAAGCATGGCCTGTCAGTGGGAGACCACATAGGACCACAGACACCCCAGAAGCAAATGTCAACACATGGTGAAAGGGACCTACCTTCTTCAGATATTTCATCGGAGACCAGCACAAACAAAGGATGATCATGGACCAGATGCCCTATGCCCATCTGATTCCCATCCCTGGAGGAGAAAAGAGGAAAAAGGAGAAGCTAAGCATCTTGAGTGAATTGTGTTTTTGTCTCAAAGAGACTAAGTATTAAACTAGACTTGGCTGAGCCCCTACTTGGTTTTACAAGATTAAGTTTTTTGCCCTTATGGAATTGGAGGCATGAGAGCTAAGACACTCTTTTATATAGAAATAAAGCAAGTTAACATCTTTACAAACCTGAGTTGTTTTTGTTTTGTTTTGTTTTTGTTTGTTGAGGCAGGATCCCACTCTGTTGCCCAGGCTGGAGTGCAATGGCATTATCTCGGCTCACTGCAACCTCTACCTCCCAAGCTCAAGTGATTCTCTCACCTCAGCTCCCCAAGTAGCTGGAATTACAGGCACCTGCCACCACGCCCAACCAATTTTTGTATTTTTAGGGTTTCACCATGTTGGCCAGGCTGCTCTCAAGCTCTTGACCTGAGGTGATCTGCCTGCTTCAGCCTCCCAAAGTGCTGGGATTACAGATGTGAGCCATTGCACCCTGCCCAAACCTTAGTTTTGAGGACTGTTGTGATCATAAAAATTCAGCCCCCAACAAGTGCTCATGGAATTGCCAAGGAAAAATAAAAACCACATAAACAACTTCATTTTAGGGCATGGTCAAGCCACTTTGGGTCTTGGAACACTAGAAAAAAAAAAAAAATAGAAGCATCACCTCTGTTACACAGCATTCACTCCCAAAACATCAAATTTTCTCCAGTATTTTGAAATAGGTCATGGAATTGGCAGCCATTTCCCTTCATCTTGCAACAGTATGTAACTACTGATGTATTTCAATGAAGCTAATTCCTGTGTGTGTTTTTTTTTTAATCTATTTTCACTTACACTGTCAATGAAGAAGTCCTATTTTGCAAATCCCATTTGGAATCTTCTGTTACCATCCACATGTTCACAGTGATAAATGGTTTCATTGCCATGACCTAGAGGGAAAAAACGACACTCAGGGCACACACACAAGCATAAATACCTTCATTGCTTCGGAACACATCTGGGATAAAGGGGACCATTTTTCTCCCTCTCATAGCATTCCCACCTAGGCTTATAAATAGTAACATTTTCCCTCTCTTTCCACTTTTTTCTTTATTCCCATGATGGAAAAGGAAGTATCTAGCATTCAGTGATATAATTTTTCCCTACAGAGCAGAGGAAAAGAATCTCTACCTGGCCCTCTTCCTTGTGTTTTTTTTTCCTCTCTCTCTGGCATCCACCTACTCAAAACACACACACATTTTTAAGCTCCTGCAGGGGGACAGCTTAAATTCCAGATGGCTACTTTCATTCTAGGAGAGAGAGGATTATAGAAAGTCTGTTCAGACTACAGATACAAAATGGGTTCCCATTCTAACTTCACCAATAATTAAGCTGGTATTTGATCTGCCCCATTTGACCCCTATGTACTTCTCTCAACTGGTTCTAAACTCAAAAGTGGGAGAAAGGTATAATATATTGGCCCCTTAACTCTTAAAAGGTTTTTGTGTTTTGCAAATATGGTATATTAGAAAAATAGCCACAGATTCATCTCCTTCCCATACCCACAGCCTCACAAGATAGCGTTTCTCACCAATAATTGGAGCTTGGGTCCATGCCTTGAATGTGGGCTGACTAGAGCTTGGGTCCATGCCTTGAATATGGGCTGACTAGTACCTTGCTTTGACTAGTAGGACAGGAGCAAAGGAATAAAAACAAATACTTGAAAAGTGCTTGGTCTTCTTCTCACAGGCTTGCTCTCTGGCAATTCACGGAAGCCAGTCACCATGTGAACAAACCCAGGCTAACCACGTGGAGGATAAGAAACCAACATGGAGAGTGAGCTCAGACTTGTCAACAATCAAGACCAGGCTAGCTACCACAAATCTGCATGCCCTTGCCAATCCACCAGCAGGAATGCAGATGCATGCATGAGCCCAGTGGAGATCAACTGAGCCCAGCTCAGACCAGAAGAACCACCAGCTGAGCCCAGCCCAAACTGCCAATGCATAAAATCGTGAGCCACATTAATGGCTGTTGCTGAAGCACTAAATTGTAAGATAAAGGATGCAGTGAAGAAAAAAGCATCAGATGACATTGCCCCTTGGTTGCTTTCTATATTGGTGTGCTCGAGTGTCAGATCCAGCCGATCAAACTCAGAGAACTTCCTGTTATCCTCTCCTTGAACCACATTTTTAGTACTTACCAAGAAACAGGAAGAGAACTCAGAAGCCCTTATCTGGGGAGTCTTACCAGATTCTAGAGGATAAGTCTCAAAGCACTTAATGGAACTTCTGACAGACAGTCATTATTATCATTATTGTTATTATTATTTTGCAGATTAAAAATGCTCTTTCTCAGAATAATCTGACAGGGAGAAATTCTTGATGGACATTTTTGGCAAGTTGGATAAAGTAGCAGTTTGAATTTATGCCCAGCATTCACCGTTACAGACACTGCCAAAAAGTTCCTAGCATTTCAGCCATTTTCACTCTTCTGGAAGAACTAGGAGGTGGAAAATTATCCTATTTCCCAGTCAAGAAAAAATGTTTTTGTAGACTGTTGTACATAGTGACAAAATCTTGTCTGTTTCTCCATAAGCAGAAATCTGTAGATACCAGGAAATGTAGCAGAGTTCTTCTGAGGTTTACTAGTGTGTAGACAGCCTTACGATTGAACTGGATTCATAATCCTCGACTTGCTGACACAGATGGCATCAAGAATGCAGAGCCAACCTCATTAACTCTAGGACAAAGGGGGTTATACAAAATAAATTAAACTCAAAGAGTCTTAGAGGATTCTGGGCCTCCTTGACACACATCTGACCTTGTGTGGCAAAGTGAGTTCTGGGAACAATAACGGTATTTGTTACTTACCTTTCTGAGTCACATTTTAGGGACTTGTTGCCAAAAAAACAATGTTGAAATGATTAGATTGCTAAAATGATGCTGTCATGCAAAGACAGCTCCAACATTTCTATTTCTTTTTTTAAGTCAAACAACAGCAGGCTCCTCACTGAAATGTTACATTTCAGCAGAATTTCAATTTACATTTTTCATTCATTTGCAAAATTTGGATTTATTGCTTTTTCAAGGAAAAAAGCAGTAATATTTTGTGGAGGGGGGCAGGAAATGAGACAAATAATTTCTTGTAAGACTTGTTTGTATGGTCTGTCCATATGAAAAAAAAATGAAATTCCCATGCAATAAAATAAATTACAAGCAAAAGTTTGTTTGTATATAGTTCCATGTATGTTTCTGCAGAGAGAAATGATAGCTTTCATCAGTTGATCAGAAGGGGGAGAAAGGATTAAAAATATTTACCAGAAAGAGGAAATGGACAATAATATAGCAGTTAAAAAATGTGTTCAGGGGCCAGCCTTTTTTACTTTTTGCCACTTACTAGTAGAGTGATTTAGGAAAATAAAATATGTCTGAGTTTTTTTAGTAAGAATGTGGCTAATAATGCTTATCAAATAGGGGAGTTGTAAAAATTTGATCAGATCAGATATGTAACTGGAATATAGTAGGCACTCAGCAATAACAGTGTACTTTCTGTCCTCTAATTGAGCTCTTTGTGTTATATTTAAAACCTCTCACAATCCAAACCCAAAACAAATTCTCAAGAGTTTCATCTATCAACACTCCATATGTTTTTGTCTTATATCCCAGCAGCCTTGGCCTGCTATGTGGTTTCTGTCAACTTCCCTAACCCCTTCTTACCAGTAAAATAGGTACCTACCTCATGGAATCACCATGAGGATCAAATGACATTGTATATACAAAGAACTTGGACCAGGGCAGAGTGTATGATAAGCACTCGATAAATGTTAACTAGATATAACACTTATTATCCTCATCTTCATCATTATTACATACCTCACCCTGACGTCTCCTTTCTCTGTATCATCACAGACGACACTTTATTTTTCTCAGCTTTCCTAAATCCTGCTCATTTGTAAGTCTCAATTCATTGATCCCTCCCAGGAATGGGTTGCCTCTCCTGAGTCACCATGCCCCCTGACCCATGTGCCTCTCCTATCTCACATACCATATCACTCTATGGTCCCCTGCTCATCTGTCTGTCTCTCTAGCTAGTCTGTGAGCTTCTAAGGGCAAGAATTGTGCTTTATTCATCTCTGTACTGCCAGGGCCCAGCACAGAACCTGGCTTATGGCAACTCCTCAGTGAATAATGGTGCAATTAAGAATAAATGTATGGATTCTATCTCCTTCCAAACAAGCATAGTTCTCATTTAATTTCTTCATTTATTTTAACTGTTTTAGTTTTTAGTGGAAAAAAATGATTTAAACTGGTGTCTTAATCCATCCATTCAGGCTGTTATACCAAAATACCATAGACTGAGTGGTTTATAGACCACAGAAATTTATTTTTTACAGTTCTGGGAAGTCCAAGATAAAAGCAGAAGAATAGCTGGTGTCTGGTGAGGACTTTCTTCCTGGCTCATAGATGGTGCCTCCTCACTGTGTCCCCACATGGTAGAAGAGACTAGCCAGCTCTCTGGTGTCTCTTTTAAGAGCACTAATTCCATTTATGAGGGCTCTAATCTCATGACCTAATCACTTACCAAAGGCTTCACATTTTGATACCATCACTGATATGGTTAGGCTTTTTGTCCCCACCCAAATCTCATCTTGAATTGTAAGCCCCACAATCTCCACATGTCAAGGGAGAGACCAGGTGGAGGTAATTGAATCATGGAGAAAATTTCCCCCATGCTGCTCTCATGAACGTGAGTTCTCACAATATCTGATAGTTTTATGAGACTCTTTTCCCTTTACTTGGCACTTCTTTTTCCTGCCACCTTGTAAAGAAGGTGCCTTGCTTCCCTTTCACCTTCCACCATGATTGTAAGTTTCCTGAGACCTCCCCAGCCATGCTGAACTGTGAGTCAATTAAACCTCTTTCCTTTATAAATTACCCAGTCTCAGGCAGTTCTTTATAGCAGTATGGAAACAGACTAATACAGTAAATTAGTACCATAGAGAGTCAGGTGCTGCTATAAAGATACTCAAAAATGTTGAAGCAACTTGGGAACTGGGTAACAGGCAGAGGTTGGAACAGTGAGAAAGTGTGTAACTTCCTAGCAACCTATAGAATTCCTTGGATCAAATGCTGATAGTGAAATGGACAATGAAGTCCAGGCTGAGGGGTGTCAGATAAAGATTAGGAACTTCTTGGGAACTGGAATAAATGTGATTATTGCTATGCTTTAGCAAAGAGACTACAGCATTTTGACCCTGCCTTAGAGATCTCTGGAAATTTAAACTTGAGACAGATAATTTAGGGTATCTGGCAGAAGAAATTTATAAGCAGCAAAGTGTTCAAGAGGTGAATTGGGTGCTCTTAAAAGCATTCAGTTTTATGCATTCCAAAAGAGATGGTTTGGAATTGGAATTTATGTTTAAAAGGGAAGCAGAGCACAAAAGTTTGGAAAATTTGCAGACTGACAATACAATAGAAAAAAAAAAAAAAAAAAAAAACCTTTTCTGAGGAGAAATTCAAGCCAGTTTCATAAATTTGCATAAGTAATGAGGAACCAAATTTTAATCACCAAAACAATGGGAAGTATGTTTCCAGGGCACATCAGAGGTCTTTATGGCAGCCCGTCTCATCACAGGCCTGAAGACCTAGGGGATAAACGTTGTTTTCTGGCCGTGGCTCAAGACCTTGCTGCTTTGTGCAGTCTCAGGACTTGGTGCCCTGTGTCCCAGCCATGGCTGAAAGGGGCAAACATACAGCTCAAATCATTGCTTCAGAGGGTGCAAGCCCCAAGCCTTGACAGCTTCCACATAGTGTTGGTCCTGCGGGTGCAAAGAAGTCAATAATTGAAGTTTGGGAACTTCCACCTAGATTTCAGAGGATGTATGAAAACACCTAGTTGTCCAGGCAGATGTTTGCTGCAGGGGTGGAGCCCTCATGGAGAACCTCTGCCAAGGTAGTGTGGAAGGGAAATGTGGGCTCAGAACCCCCACACAGCATCCCCACTGGGACCCTGCCTTGTAGAGCTGTGAGATGAGGGCCACTGTCCTCCAGACCCCAGAATAGTAGATCCACTGACAGCTTGCAGCATGCACCTGGAAAAGCCACAGGCACTCAATGCCAGCCCATGAAAGCAGCCAGGAGTGGGGCTGTACCCTGCAAAGTCACAGGAGCAGAGTTTCCCAAGACCATGGGAACCCACCTCTTGCATCAGTGTGACCTGGATGTGAGACATGATGTCAAAGGAGATCATTTCAGAGCTTTAAGATTTGACTGCCCCACTGGATTTCAGATTTGCATGGGGCTTGTAGTCCCATTGTTTTGGTCAATTTCTCCTATTTGGAACGGATGTATTTACCCAAAGCCTGTACCTGCATTGTATCTAGGAAGTGATTAACTTGCTTTTGATTTGACAGGCTCATGGGCAGAAGGTACTTGCCTTTTCTCAGACGAGATTTTGGACTTGGAATTTTGGCTTAATGCTGAAATGAATTAAGATTTGAGGAATTGTTGGGAAGGCATGATTGGTTTTGAAATGTGAAAGGGCCATGAGATTTTAGAGGGGTCAGGGGTGGAATGATATGGTTAGGCTTCGTGTCCCCACCCAAATTTCATCTTCAATTGTAATCATCATAATCCCCATAATCCCCACGTGTCAAGGGAGAAACCAGATGGAGATAACTGAATCATGGGGTGGTTTTCCACACGCTGTTCTCATGATAGTGAGTGAATTCTCTCACAAGGTCTGATGGTTTTATAAGGAGCTCTTTCCCCTTCACTCAGTCCTTCTCCTTCCTGCCACCTTGTAAAAAAGGTGCCTTGTTTACCTTTCACCTTCTGCCATGATTGTAAGTTTCCTGAGGTCTCCCCAGCCATGCTGAACTGTGAGTCAATTAAACCTCTTTCCCTTAAATTACCCAGTCTCAGGCAGTTCTTTATAGCAGTATGGAAAGGGACTAATACAATTCTCTTGGGGATTTGAATTTCAACAAATGAATTTTGGGGGAAGGCAAACATTCAGACCATAGCAAATGGTTTAAGCAAAAGGGAATGTATCTCTCAATTAAGAAGTCCAGTAGAAAGCTCCTGGCATATCTGGATGTACCCACTTCTAACTCTGTTTTCCTCCATGTTGGTTTCATATTGATGCATCCTCAATCGTGCTTCCTCTTGGTGGCCAGATGGTCATTGGTGACCTCAGACTTGCATCTTCCCAGACTACTTGTGCCAAGGCAAATAACTTATCTTTCCCAATAATTCCATAAACGTTCCAGAATTGAAATTCACTGACTAGATACCCTCCCCTGGAGAAAGGTAGGAGGAACTCCATATTCTCTAAAAGACTAGTTGCTTCCCAAAGGAAATTGGGTGTGGTTACCAGAAGAAGAAAAAACATAGGCTCAACAGGCAAAAATATACTTGTCTATTACAGGTTCCCTCCCTGTCTCTAGTCCTGCTTGCTCCTTAATTTTCACCTAGAGACTTGGGCTTCCACCAACACTAACCACCTGCTTTCTTCTTCTCAGTTTGTGGTGGCCTCTCTCGTATAACCTGTGACACTTTGAGAAGACCCACTAGCAACCCTCAGTCCTTCTGTGGGCTATTCTGTTGTGAGCCACAGCCCACGGCCTGCTTTCTTAAGTCATATCTGTGCAGCTTCCTGATCATACTCAGTGTTGGAGTTTTAGAGGTCTCAATACTGGATACCTCTTTCCCGCCCTGGTGCAAGACCAACTTAGAAAT